GCTCCCAGGGCTGTGTGAGGGTGCAGGGCTGGCAGTGACCCCTCTGTAACGCCTGTCCCAGCTCCCAGGGCTGTGTGAGGGTGCAGGGCTGGCAGTGACCCCCCTGCAATGCCTGTCCCAGCTCCCAGGGCTGTGTGAAGGTGCAGGGCTGGCAGTGACCCCTCTGTAACGCCTGTCCAGGGCTGTGTGAGGGTGCAGGGCTGGCAGTGACCCCTCTGTAACGCCTGTCCAGGGCTGTGTGAGGGGACAGGGCTGGCAGTGACCCCCCTGTAATGCCTGTCCAGGGCTGTGTGAGGGTGCAGGGCTGGCAGTGACCCCCCTGCAATGCCTGTCCCAGCTCCCAGGGCTGTGTGAGGGTGCAGGGCTGGCAGTGACCCCTCTGTAACGCCTGTTCCCCTGTCCGTGCAGACCCCGGGGATGCCGGTGCCGCAGTATCCGTACGGAGACAGCAGCGCAGGGGTCACAGGGCAGGGCCCGGTGCCGCAGCCCAGAGCCCTGGAGGACACGTGGGGCCCCCACTCAGGCTATGGGGCACAGCCTCGCTATGCCTGGCCCGCCTCGGGGCACAGCAGCCTCTACGTCTCGGATTCACACCCATCCTGGACCAGCAGCGGGGCTGCTTCCCACCCGCCCACCTGGGAGTCACAGGGACAGGTGAGGTCCTGTGTGCATGCAGAAGATTTAAATCCATGGCTGCGATTCCATAAAGTACTGGAAGGACAAGATACTCTGGGGTGGGTCTTGAAATGGGTCTGACAGGCCAGGCTGGATCAGGGATTAAGTGATTCCGTGTTTTTGGTGCCAGGCAGTAGCAGCCCTGATGGGGGATTCAGGGGCTCAGAGTGCTCTGGACAGTTGCCCCTTGCTGGGCTTTCTCTTTCTAACATGGGAGCAGAGCATCCCCAGCCCTGTCTGCTGTTTGGTGCAGGATGAGAGCGGAAACCTCTGGGTTGAAGGAAAACGCACTTAGAGATGTTTTCTCCCTCTGACCGCAGGACTCTGTCTACGACAGACCTGAGCAAAGCCCCGGCCAGCACAGTTACTACTCTGATGGCAACCAGCGGCTCTCGGGGCCAGTGAACGAGCACAGGGCGGCCAAGCCTGCCCCGTGCCAGCCCCGGGTGCAGTACAGTGCCCAGCCCCAGCTCTATGACCTCCCTCCTCGGAAGCCTGTGGCCAGGAGCCAGGAGCTGGGCTTCAAACCTGCTGAGCAGCCTGCCACGAGTCCTGCAGCCCTGCAGCCAGAGATTCAGAGGATCCTCCATGTGATGGGGGAGGCTGAACAGCTGGAGGAAGAGGTGGACGAATTTGTAGGGAAAAAGACAGATAAATCCTACCGACTGCTGGAGGAGATGTTGACCAAGCTGCTGCTGGAGCTGGATTCCATTGAGACTGGGGGCCAGGACAGCGTCCGGCAGGCCAGGAAAGAGTCCGTCCACAGAATTCAGGCCATACTGGAAAAATTGGAAAGAAAGGGATTGTGAAAGCACAAGAGCCACAACACACAGCCTGTGGTTGAGGTTCTCTTAAATCTCAGCTCTTTCTGCTACGCACTATTGACAATGGAATAGCAATAAGCCCGGAGTTAACAAATCAAATCAAACCCACCAAAAAGCCAGCCCAGAAGCCCAGCCCCAACAAACAACCCAGCAAAGGACAGAGAGAGGTTTGAAGCAGCAAAAGTATTTAATGAGGATGCTGAGGAGACCTGCGCCGAGGATGGGGCCCTGTGGGGTTGTGTACAGAGTTCCCAGAGTTCCCAGGCCGGGCCCAATCTCTGGGTGCCTCCTACAGCCACAGCCAGTCTTCAAACACTCCTCAGACATGCTGCAATGTGCAGCCACCAACCAAGACTCTGGGCTTGTCCTCACTGCCTGTAATTTCAGCTTCAGCTCCCTTGCCATAAACCCCGTGTGTCCCCATGGGGGTTGTTTGGGTTTGGTGCACTCAAGGAGCAACACTGAAGTGCTGGAGGGAGGGACTGTGCTGGCACATGTCACGTTGTGCTGTTCCTCCTGTGTGGTGCAGAGCCAGTGTGGGGTGTCCCTGTGGGCATGGGAACAGACTGGAAATCCCAGTTCTGCCACTGGAAAGGAGAAGTGCAAGTCAAGGAAAGAACAGGGCCAGGATGCTTGGAAGTGATTTCCAGGTCACTTGGGTCAGAATCCTGTTTCATGTCCCTCTCCATCCTGCGAGTTCTGTGTCCCACTGTGCAGCAGCTGTGTGTTCCAGCCTCCTGGTTACCATCTGCACAGCAGCTCACTGCTATGTGTGACACCTGAATTTGAAATGTATTTTGTAACTGAGATGTCTCAAAGTCTCTTTTTCTTTAAAGAGAAGTGGTGGGAAGGTTTTGTGACTCAGGCCAAAGCCCCAGGCTGGCTGGAGCGGTGCTGAGGTCAGGGGTGAATGGGATATCTGAGAAGGCTGTTCTGGGCTGCCAGGGTGCCCCATTGCCTCCCAGGCAGTGCAGATGCTCCAGGAGCCTCCAGCTGGTGTGGAAGAGGGTCTGGAAGGGATTTCGGATACCTGAGGCTGGGTGCCCTGGCCATGCTCTGTGTGCTGCCAGCCAGCCAGAGGCAGCTGGCAGATCCCACATTCCCAGACAGGGCTGCGGGCACAGGATGACCTTTGGAGCTCACTGGATGTGTCCATAACCACGTGTGGTCAGCCTGCACAGCCAGCCACGTCTGGGGCAAGCTGGGAGTGAACTGGATGTCCTGGGACAGGGTAGGGCTCAGCTGCTGCTGCATTTTGTGTCAGCAGGGAGCAGCCAGGCTGAGCTGTTCTGTGCTTCCCTCCTGGGGCCCACTGGCTGTACTGGAAGGTCAGTAACTCACAGCACTCAGAGAGTGCTGCCCTGCCACTGTGCTGGTGAAGCCTCCATGAGTTCCGCCCCTTCCCCCATCAGCTGAACCCATCCAGGTGGGATACTCCTCAACAATATTGCTTGTCCCTGCCTCCTTGGCGGAGGGTTATGTAAATCCCCAGAGAAAAGCCCATGAGAGAACATGAAGTGGGCTGAAATGGCAGGTTGTCACCGCAGGACATGGGGATCCCACAGCGCCATGGAACAGCGTGGCTGCCTGGGACACTCCAGCATCCCTGGCTGGGTTTCTTGTGTTTCCCCCAAAACTGGGCTGGGATCAGGGATCAGGCACACGTCCCAGGCAGGAGCTGTGTCAGCACCGACTGCTGCAGGCTCTGCATGGGCCCCAGCTGCAGAACTGGGGAACTGAGCACTCCCAACCCTCCTGTTTTCCTCATCAATCCCTGCTGTGCCATGGTGAGCACTGGGATAGCAGCTCCTGGCAACTGGTTTATCTTGCAGCATCCACTTGCAGCATCCACCCACATCACAACCCCCAAATTAGAAAGTCTGTCTCTGTTTATCGCTGGGCTCATCTCTACAGAAACCAAACTCTTACTCTGGGGTTGCCCGTTGCTTCTCCAGCAGTGCTAGAGTTTCTCAATCACCACAGAGGCTAAAGTGTCACAGAGGGCCTGAAAAACAAACATTAAATCAGCACTGCGTGGTTTCTGCTGCAATCACCCCATGCTGGAGTGTTTGTTCCTGCAGCAGCTGGCACGGGGGTGGGTATTTCCCCTCACCCCAGTGCTCTGCATCCAGCTCCGGGCCAGCATCACCCCCCCCGGGCCACTGCCGAGGGCAGGGAGCAGGGACAGGGAACGGGCAGGAACACGGACAGGGAACGGGCAGGAACATGGACAGGGAACATGGACAGGGAACAGGGGCAGGGGTCACAGGCAGGGAGCAGGGGCAGGGAACGGGCAGGAACACGGACAGGGAACACAGACAGGGAACAGGGGCAGGGAACATGGACAGGGAACAGGGGCAGGGAACGGGCAGGAACACGGACAGGGAACATGGGCAGGGAACAGGGGCAGGGAACATGGACAGGGAACAGGGGCAGGAACACGGACAGGGATAAAGGGCAGGGAACACGGACAGGGAACATGGACAGGGATCAGGGACAGGGATCAGGGGCAGGAACACGGACAGGGAACAGGGGCAGGGAACAGGGGTCACAGGCAGGGAGCAGGGGCAGGGAACGGGCAGGAACACGGACAGGGAGCAGGGGCAGGAGCACGGGCAGGGAACAGGGGCAGGAACACGGGCAGGGGTCACAGGGAGGGAACAGGGGAAGGGAATGGGCAGGAACACGGACAGGGAACAGGGGCAGGGAACACGGACAGGGATAAGGGGCAGGAACAGGGGCAGGGGTCACAGGCAGGGAGCAGGGGCAGGGAACGGGGGCAGGGGTCACAGGGAGGGAGCAGGGGCAGGGAACGGGCAGGAACACGGACAGGGAACATGGACAGGGATCAGGGGCAGGAACACGGGCAGGGGTCACAGGCAGAGAGCAGGGGCAGGGAGCAGGGGAAGGGAACGGGCAGGAACACGGACAGGGAACACGGACAGGGAACAGGGGTCACAGGGAGGGAGCACGGGCAGGAACACGGACAGGGATAAGGGGCAGGGAGCAGGGGTCATAGGCAGGGAGCAGGGGCAGGAACACGGACAGGGGTCACAGGGAGGGAGCAGGGGCAGGGAACAGGGTTCACAGGCAGGGATGACAGGCAAAGGTCGCGGGCAAGGAACAGGGGCAGGGATCAGTGGCAGGGATACCAGGCAGGGATGACAGGCAAAGGTCCCGGGCAGGGATCGCGGCAGCAATCGCTGGGCTGCGGGGCGGGGCTGAGGGCAGAGGCTGCGGGCGGGGATCGGGGCAGAGGCCGCGGGCACTGCGGGCAGGCACTGCGGGCACTGCCCGCTCCTCCCCGGCCGTGACGGCGCGGGCGGGCCGCGGCAAGCACCGCCCCGGGCTGGGCGGGCGCGGGGCCGGAGCGGAGCCTGCGCTGGCAGCCGGGCCGCAGCGGCAGCGGCGGGGAACGGGGCCGGGGCCGCCGGGGCCGCCGGGGAACGGGGCCGGGGCTGCCGGGGAACGGGGCCGGGGCCGCCGGGGAACGGGGCCGGGGCCGCCGGGGCCGCTCGGGCCGCTCGGGCCGCGCTCCCGGCGCAGGGCGCGGAGCCGCCGGTGCGGCGGAGCGGCGCTCCGAGCTCGGCCCGCAGCCGCCCCATGGAGCCGCCGCGGCCGCCCCCGGCCGAGCCCGCGGAGCCGGAGCCCGGCGGGCGGTACGAGCCCGTGGCGCCGCACTGGTTCTACCGGCGGCTGAACGAGCCCCGGGAGCGCTGGGTGCCGTTCAGCGCGCAGGACTCGCGGCGGCTGGAGGAGGCGCACGGCGCAGGTAGGGCGGGACCGGCCGCTGTCCTGCTTTTCCACCCCTATCCCCGCTCCCGACTCACTCCGGGGAATGGACCTGCTGAGGTTGGCGGGGGAGCTTCAGCTGTGCGCTTGGATACCCTGGACACGCACATGGCTTCCACCTGGGATGCTAGGTTTTCCCTGGAGGAGTTTTAATTTGGGGCTTTTTTGGCCATGTGCCTGCTCACAATAATTGAGCTGTTCCGATGCATCAAATGGTCTGACCCCATTCAACTGATAGTGCTCTAAATTATATATAATCGTACTGCAAAGCATCCTCTGGTGAGGCGGGGAGAACGCTGCCAGGATGGCAGGAATTCCACTGGGAGAGTCCCCGCAGCACGGAGATGTGCCTGCTATGAGAGCAAGGATTGGAGGTCAGCTCCAAGCCCTGTGCTGAGGCCCTGGTGTGCCAAATGTCACCATCTGTGCCACCTACTGCTGCCACAGCCCAAGGATTGGCTGCCATCCTCCCTCGCCCAGGAAGTTTCAGATTAGAGGTTGTGCTGCCCATCCCCGGTGCTGCTGCCCGGGCCAGCCTGGCACGGGGTGCTGTGCCACCAGCCTGGCACGGGGTGCTGTGCCACCAGCCCAGCCCACAGGCAGCGAAATTCACAGTTTGAGGTCTGTATTGGGGTCTGTAGAGAGTTCTCTGTTTGGGAGAGGAACGCCTGAGAGACAGGAGACCCTGGTGCACCCCCACTGTTACACAATGCCCTTAACAGGGCCTCAGTTTCACTTTTACCCTCTTGGCCTGGCAGGTAGAGGCCACGTAAGCAGTGCCTGAGCTGGAGAGAAGGACAGTGTGGTGTAATGTTTTTATCTCTGCCTCTGGGGGAAGTCAGACTCGGGGTGTCTCACCCTGACAGCGCTCCCTGACCTCGGGTCCGGAGGACGTTGGCACCTGCTGCCATGGTGGCTCTGAGCTGCCTGGCCGTGGTGCTGCAAGTTCCTCCGGGAATTTGGCATTCCAGGCCGGTCAGGACTGAGTGCAGGCCCCGTTCCCACAGGGAAGGAGCAGGATGATGTGGTGGTCCCCACCTCGGGGGGCAGGTATGACGTGCACCTGCGGGCGCGGCGGCGCGTGGCCGTGTACTGGGAGGAGGAGGCGGCCGAAGTGCGGCGCTGCACCTGGTTCTACAAGGGGGACAAGGACAACAAGTTCATTCCCTACTCCGAGTCCTTCAGTGAGGAGCTGGAGGTAAACACACCTTTCCTCTTGGTTTCCATCGCAGTTTCTCCTCCTCACACACCGCCTGTGATGTCCCAAACCCCGTAAAGGCCAGTCAGGCCTGAGGACATGAACTCCAAAGAGGCTTTGGCACGGCATTCCTGCAGCTGATTGATAGAACTGTGAGCTCTGCCGTGGCCTCCCCTTCCCCTGCCCTCACCCAGCCTCAGTGCATCCTTCCACCACACCTGAAAGCGCCAGGCTTTCCTTTGGGATGATGCAAATGTAGAGATGTATAGGCAGACGTATAAAAATACCTGTCTTTGCCATAATCTCTATTCTGGTGTACCAAAACCAGTTCTAAGGGGATGGGGAAGTCTGATGTTGCTGCTGGCAAAGCAGGGAGCTCTTAAACACTCTCAGCAGGTGATCCTGGGATGACCCTGCTGCTCCTCCAGCTGATTTCTCTGCTTCTTTTGCAGAGTATTGATAAGAGAGTCTAAAACTTGGGCGGGGAATGTCCCAAGAGGTTGAACATTGATGGGCACACTTCCAGCTGACTCACAGTGGGTGTTCTCTTCTGTAGGAAGCCTACATGATTGCCGTGACCCTGGGTGAGTGGAAGAAGAAGCTGGAGTCCCCCAACAGAGAAGTCATTGTCCTACACAACCCAAAGGTGAGCAGGGCCGGGTGGTCTCTGTGGTGACCAGTCAGGACATCCCCTTGGGTCTCTTTGTGCTGCTCCCTTCAAATGGGTTTGTCCCACAGCCATTCCACTCACCTGCCTGTGCCAGAGGAGAGGGCAGTGGCAGCTGAGCCTGCCAACAGCTTCACATTTCTTTCCAGCACCTCTGTGGGCAAAGGGCAGGGCCCAGCACAGTCTGGTACCACGCCGTGTCACCCGGCAGCTGCTGTGGCTGTCCTGCTCCTGTGTCACTGACAGGCTCTTCTTGTCCCCAAGCTGATGGTTCAGTGCTGCTGCTGTGGCTGTCCTGCTCCTGTGTCACTGACAGGCTCTTCTTGTCCCCAAGCTGATGGTTCAGTGCTGCTGCTGTGGCTGTCCTGCTCCTGTGTCACTGACAGGCTCTTCTTGTCCCCAAGCTGATGGTTCAGTACTGCTGCTGTGGCTGTCCTGCTCCTGTGTCACTGACAGGCTTTTCTTGTCCCCAAGCTGATGGTTCACTACCATCCCGTTGCCAGCTCTGACGACTGGGTCTCCACCCCCACGGAACAAGGCCGGCCCCGGACTGTGAAGAGAGGAGTGGACAACATTGCTGTGGAGATCCCCAGTGGTGAGCCTGCTTCTCCCCTCACCCACCCAAAACCCTGCAGAGATTTCCAGCCTCATCACTCACAAGGACTGGAGGAAGCTCCCGTGATCCTTTAAGTGAAATGCACCTCAAAACATTTTGTGCCAAAAGGATCCAAATGGTTTCAGAAACCTCCCCAGCCCCAGCGAGCTGCAGATCCAGGGGAGGGTGGTGAGCTTCCAGCTCCTGTGCAGAGACAGAGCTCTGGGAGCTCTGTGGTGCCTGAAATGACCCCTGAGGTCTCGATTTGTACAGGAGGGGAGTTATTTTCTCTGCTGGGAACACAGTGGTTGATCACTTACCTTTGTGCTGGTGACTCTCTGGGGCACATGCTGTCCCCATCTCTGCAGCCAAGTGTCAGCTCTGTCCCTCCCAGCTGCCCTGAGCTCCCAGTCAGGCCTCGGGACCTGTGCCCATGAGGACATCAGGCAGTTGCTCCATTTTCCAAGGGTGCCTGCCCTCAGGAAGGCACGTATGCAATCTGAGGTGTGTGGGAAGCAGAGAACAAGCCCTGACTCCACCTGGGGCCTGCCTGGGAGATGTAGGGCTGGGCAGGGGGCAGCTGCTCTGAGACCTCCTGATCCCGCACCTCCCTGTGCTGAACACGCCACCACCCCTTCCTCTGCTGTCCTGTTGGTCCAGATCCATCCCAGGGCAGCTGAACTGAGCAGAACTAAGAAATGTGAGAAATCCCAGCAGCCTTGAGGTGTAAATCAGGCACTAAGGAGGCTTTTCGCGGGCTGAGGTGAGGGTGGGAGGCTCGTGCCCTGCACAGGGGTGCCTCCAGCAGCTCTGGTCCCTGCTGGGCGCTGTCTGCTCAGCAGCCGTGCCCTGAGCTGCCCTCCCCTCCTCAGGAGAGCCGCTGCAGATCGACCACCTGGTGTTCGTGGTGCACGGCATCGGCCCCGCCTGCGACATCCGCTTCCGCAGCATCGTGCAGTGCGGTAGGTGCCGGGCTGGGGGGTCTCACCTGGGCCCACACCATCAGCACGCTGCCTCAGACCACCCCAACCCAGCAGGGCTGCTTGGCCAGACCTGCTGACAGAGGGCAGGGCGAGCACAGCGCTCACTGACTGCCAAATCCCCACTTCTGACAGGGTTCAGGCAGCTGCTGATCGTCAGTTTTGCTTCACAACAGCTATTTTTTATAAATTTCTAAAAGTTATTTTATACATTTCTAAAAGTTACTTTATAATTTTTTTATAAATGTCTAAAAGTTTCTTATCCTGACTGGAAGATTAAAGCCCTGCCCCTGTGAAGGAGGTGGGGATGGGGCACTGAAATCCAGTAAACACACGTGGCAGGACATGGAGCCTCCCCTGACCTGTAGTTAAAGATTCAGGGACTTAGGGGAGCAGCAGCAGATTAAAGACCCCAGTGGGATTTCCCTGTAATGATCTTTCATGGTATTAAGTGGTGTTGGTGCCTCGGGCTGGCCCCAGAGCCTGGTGCATCTCCCTGAGAGATCTTCTGTTCTGTTCTGCAGTGAATGATTTCAGGACCGTCTCCCTCAGCATGCTGCAAGCACACTTCAGGAAGGCGCAGGAGCAGCAGCAGGTCGGGCGGGTGGAGTTCCTGCCTGTGAACTGGCACAGCTCCCTGCACTCCACTGGCGTGGACGTGTAAGTGTCAGCCCCTGCCCCAGGGCCGGGGCGTGGCAAGGGGCACGGGCAGCCTCCTGCCCCAGAAATTCCACTCTTGGGTTGGAAAAGCCGTGAGTTTTTAGGGGTGGGGTGAGCAGGACAGACAGGGACCTCCAGAGCACCTCCCCACTGCCATTCTCCAGCACACAGCAGGCGCCTGCTCCCATCAGCATCCTGAGAACAGAGGCCTCTGCCTTCCCTGGCTGATCTCGGGCACCTTGCTGAAGCCTCTGAGAACTCAGTGCCCAGTTCCTGCACTGCAGCACTGCTCTGCAGTGCCCCAGGAAGGGCAGAAAGCAGGCCAGGCTCCTGGGGAAGAAGGGGCAGGCTCTTTATTCTTGGGTTGTAAGAGCACAGGCTGTGCTTTGCCTTCAGTCTGGGCATGAGCTGAGGCTCTGGATTACAGCACAGCTCGCTGGAGACTGTGTCAATCCTCCCTGAGCTCATACTGTGCTTTAGAAGGAGGTGGGGTTCCCTGGCTCCCCCAGCTGCAGCCCCTGTGTCCTTGCCCGCAGCGATCTGGAGCGGATCACGCTGCCCAGCATCAACCGCCTGCGGCACTTCATCAACGACACCATCCTGGACGTGTTCTTCTACAACAGCCCCACCTATTGCCAGACCATCGTGGACACGGTGGCCTCGGAGATGAACCGCCTGCACCGGCTCTTCCTGCAGAGGAACCCGCACTTCAGGGGCGGGGTGTCCATCGCGGGGCACAGCCTGGGTGAGGGCTGCAGCGTGCCAGGGCGCAGTGTCGGGGCTACAGGGGGCACCTGCTGCAACACCAGCCTGCTCCAAGCCCTGTCCACAGCTTGTCTGGGCAGCCTGTGCCAGTGCTTCAGCACTGAGTAAAGAATTTCCTCCTGCCATCCGATCCAGCCTGTCCTCTGTCAGTTTGAAGCCATTGTCCCTTGTCCTGTCGTTATCTGCCTGTAAAAAAGCCCAGGGTGCAGCTCTGCCATCCCAAAAAGGAGGTGGCTCGGGCTCTTCCCCTGCAGGTGCTGATGCTCTGCCCGTGCCTGGTTTCTAGGGTCACTCATTCTGTTTGATCTCCTGACGAACCAGAAGGCTGATCCCGAGGAGGACGAGCGCTGTGCACAGGTACAGGAGGCCACCGACCCCTCTGTCCTGCAGCAGAGGACACAACGTGCACAGGAGCAGACTGGTGAGCAGAAAGCATGATCCCTTCTGGATCTGTTCACAGGGGTCCAGGACAACCTCAGGCACCGGGGGGATTGAGGAAGTAAAAGAAATCCTGAAGAAGCTGGAGCTGTCCGAGTATTGTGATGTTTTTGAGAAGGAGAAAATGGACAGGCAGGCAGTGGTGAGAAGTTCCCCTGTTTTCCTGGCTCTTGTGGCTCTTCTTTGCTTTTCTTGCCCACCAGTGCACATCTTCTGGTACTGAGTCACACATGAACCATCTCTGAGGAGCAACACAGTCCCACAGAACGGACACCTCATCACACCTCTGCTCCTGGTCCTAACTCCAGCCTTGCTTATTTTCCAGTTCTTGTGCACAGAGAAAAACCTGAAAGAAATGGGAATTCCCTTAGGGCCAAGAATGAAAATACTCCATTACATCAGCTCCGAGACAGAGATGAAGGTTTGTTTTCTGCATGGCTTGTGCTCATGGCATCCCATCCCATCCCATCCCTCTGACACAAGGACCCTTTGTGCTGCTGCTGCAGGACCGGAGCTCAGCAGCTCCTGGGCACGATGAACGTGAGGCTGAGCCAGGGGACAGCTCCGAGGGTGTCAGGAGCTGCCAGTACCGGGACGTTGGCTTGGGACAGGTAACAGCCGAGCTCTGGCTGCGCCCCAAACCCTCCTGACACAGCACAGGGATTGGCCCATGAGCAAATCTGAACATCCCCCTCTCCCAGGTCTCGGCAAACTACCCCCAGCTGAACTACAAGCCCACCATCTTCTTTGCCTTTGGCTCTCCCATCGGGATGTTCCTCACCGTGCGAGGAGTGAAGCGGATCGACCCCAACTACAGCCTGCCCACCTGCAAAGGCTTCTTCAACATCTTCCACCCCGTAGGTGTCAGAACCAGAGCTGTCCTGCGTGAGACACGTGGAGCAGGAGCCCTGGCCACTGTCCCCCTCTCGTGTGCAGTTTGACCCGGTGGCGTATCGGATCGAGCCCATGATCGTCCCCGAGCTGGAGTTCGAGCCCATGCTGCTGCCCCACCACAAGGGCAGGAAGAGGATGCACCTGGGTATGGCACAGGCAGCCCCTGTCCCCCAGCCCAGCGCTGCTGCCGCAGCCCCCAGCCCCACAGCCACCCCGTTCCTGCCTTGCAGAGCTGAAGGAAGGGCTGACTCGCATGAGCGTGGACCTGAAGAACAACCTGCTGGGCTCCCTGCGGGTGGCCTGGCAGAGCTTCACCCGCGCCCCCGTGCCTGCCCTGGAGGCAGGGAGCTCCGAGGCCGAGGCAGACTCAGAGGCCAGCACTGAGAAGCAGCCAGGTTGGTGATGGGGGCGGGGGCAGCGTGCCTGGACTCCCACAGCCACCCTGCCCATCACCTATGCCCAGGAAAGGGATCACCTTTGGGCTGTGGGGGCACCTGGCTGTCCCCAGATGCTGTGGACTCCCACAGCCGCCCTGCCCATCACCTGTGCCCAGGAAAGGGATCACCTTTGGGCTGTGGGGGCACCTGGCTGTCCCCAGATGCTGTGGACTCCCACAGCCGCCCTGCCCATCACCTATGCCCAGGAAAGGGATCACCTTTGGGTTGTGGGGCCGCCTGGCTGTCCCCAGATGCTGTGGCCTTGCAGCACCTGATGAAGGGATTTTCTGGGGGGCTCTCAGCACACCACACCGCGTTTCAAGCCCATCCCCTTCCTCTGGGTGTCCCTTGCACCTGAGCTGCCTCTCCCCTGTGTGAGCTGCAGCAGGGTGAAGGGAGGGCACGGCCCTGCTGTTGTATTGCCATGGCTGCTGCTGCCCTGGGGGTGAGCCACGCTGCTCTGCCTTCCTGCAGACACAAAGCCAGAGGAGCCCCCGGCAGCAGTGAAGGAAGAGACGCCCCCCATCAGCCCCATCAACGTGGGGAGGCTGAACGGAGGGAACCGCATCGACTACGTGCTGCAGGAGAAGCCAATCGAGAGCTTCAACGAGTATTTGTTTGCACTCCAGGGCCATCTCTGCTACTGGTAAGTGTCTGTGTGATGCTCAGGGCTTCAAATGTACGTGTGCTGGAAGCAGAATGGCAACAGTTTCAAAGGCAGTGTGGTAAGAAAAGCCTCAGCTGGCAACAAGGTTTTCTCCTGTCTGTGACACACACAGGGTGGGCATGGGCAGAGGAAGGAGACTTGTGCTTCTCCTTGTGCTGCCTGCATGGCAGAGTGCAGGGAAACATTCCCTTCTGATCCCCTTTGCTCCCTGCAGGGAGTCAGAGGACACTGTTCTGCTGGTTCTGAAGGAGATCTACCAGACACAAGGCATCACACTGGATCAGCCTTTGCCGGGAAGCCAGTGACCCACCTGTGCTGTGCTGGCTGTAAGTCACCTCTGCCTAAATCCCTTCTGCCTTTCCTAGGACACCTCGGAGGAGATCTGGTTGGTTGGAGGGAGTGATATCCTTTATCTAAGGCAGGGAATTTGTGTCAGCTTTCTTCTTTGGCTGTCAGCACCTTTGGCTTCTTTCCCCTTCCCTGCACACGAGCACGATCAGACATGAGGAGAGAACGAAGGAGGGTCTGGGGGGCTGGATGCTGGCTGCAGTATTCCTGTGTTCTCCTGTTGCTTTCTCAGGTCCAATCCCACAGAGCACTCACCAGGAAAGTCCAGATCTCTTCTCTGCCTTCCTCTCTCCTCTGCTGCCGTGTCCTGCATGCTGCTTCCCAAGTACTTGCTGCTGCCTGGAGATGAGGATGGATTTTCCTCCATTTTGGGTAGGGGTAGGGGGAAAAACTGTCAAGGAAAACCACTTCTGCTGAAACCCACACAACCCTGTACAGTGACTCCCTGTGGCAACGTGTACTTTTAACCGAGTCCCCACACCAGCTCCTGCAGCAGACGAGCTGTCCGGGCCCTGAGCCCAGCCTGGCTCGGTGGGGACGCTCACAGCCCAGGACCTGGAGGAGAAAAAGCCTTAAACCCACGGCGTGGGAAGAGCTGCAGCAGCCTGCGGGCAAGGGAGATTGCTGACTGCTAACACAAACCCCCACACCAGCACTGCAGGCCGGGAGGTGAAGTCCAGGGCACATGGAGGCTGCTGCTGAGCAAGCAGGGGCTGCACAGCAGCACCCTCACCCCTGCACTGCTGCTGAGCCAGCAGGGGCTGCACAGCAGCAGCATCACCCCTGCACTGCTGCTGCACCAGCAGGGGCTGCACAGCAGCACCCTCACCCCTGCACTGCTGCTGAACCAGCAGGGGCTGTGCAGCACCATCACCCCTGCACCGCTGCTGCATGTTTCTGCACCGCAGGGCTGTGCCAGGCAGGGCTGCCCCGTGCAGCTCCCCATGAGAGTGGCAGGCTCGTGCAGGAATGACACCAGCCCTGCCTAGAAGGTCTGTTCTGAGGGGCAGGGCTGGAGAGCCTCTGTGATCCTTCCCTGGGCACCAGAACCCCTGGGCTGGGGTTTAGTGCTGTGTGAGGTGTTGCTTTGCAGCCTTTGGAAGAGCAAAACCACTTTCCCTCCTGCTGACTTTTGCCCTCTGCATGGGGTAAGGAGCCTTTTTTCCCCACAGCCTGTTGGTTTGTTTTTCCTCCATTGTCTGTTATTTGCACTACTGGAAGGGTTTTGTTTGCAGCCTCCATCCCTCCTCCCCTCCCAAGGAACAGAAACTGTTCTGTACCTGACTGCAGGAACAGCCAAGCGCTTGGTCAGCACCTGACTGCTGGCCGAGGTCTCATGGGAGTAGGAAAAGGGACACTCTTAACATGGGACACTAATGATCAGCTTTTAAGTTATGCACTTTGTTAAAAAAAAAAAAAACATTTTAAATGTTATTTAATGTCTTTTCCAGTAAAAGCCAAAATAAATACGTAGATGTCTGCGGTGTGTGCATGTTTGAGGGGAGAGGGAAGGGCCAGAAAATTCACATGTGCAGTTCTAGGAGAAAGTGAAGCTATTCCTGTAACTATTGAAGCTCTGCAGAGTTATAGAGGGTCTGAACTGCAGCTGATGGGTGGTGTTTCATCACTGACTCACCTGCCTTGCTCTGCTGCAGCCTCACCTGTGCTGTTTGCATGTCCACACACTTGAAACCTGTCTTTGAAGGGACCAGTGACAAACAACTGCTCTCTGAGCTCCTGCCAGGCAGCAGGCCCTGGATCTCAGCAGCACTCTGCCCTTCCTTGTCTGAGACAGACCATGGGCAGGGAAATGAGCATCGTTGTAGGATGCTCCCAGACACCATTTCATTTCTGCTGTCATCTCTCCTTGAAACTACTACAGCTGCAAGGAAAGAGCACACACCAGAAAGCCATACAGACACCAGAGGAAATGGTTTATAAAGCAACAACCCAGACCTTGAAATAAAGTTTTAGTACCACAGCTCGTTACAAAAATTAAACTCCTTTATTTGGGAAATTAGAAAAAGTCAGAAGTTGGCAGGTCCTGCACTTCACTTCCCAGGAGAAGGGCTGGGACAGCTCGGCTGGACTGCAGGGAGGTGGCCACTGGTGCTTCCTGGACTGGACACGGGAACTCCCGCCAGACTGAGCACACTGGGTTGTCCCATTTTCCCAGTTTGTGTTCAGGACCTCCACATCCCAACTGTCTTTGTGCCTCCCTCGCTTCACAGCAGGCCTGAAGAGGGGGTGGCCTACAAAATTCAACGAGATGGAGCAACACAAGGGCCAGGGCAGGAAACTCACCAGCTCGGCAGGAACACCTGCCCAGGGGCTTGTCCTCACTCCTGGGCAGCCTCCCCCAAGCCTCGCCCTGCCCTGGCACCCAGAGCAGGCAGGAAGAGCCTGGCACTAGATGTTCATGTGGAAGTTGGGAGCTGGAGGCTTCTCCTCGTGCGCTGGCAGCGGTTTGGGCTTGGCCAGAGATGGTTTGTGGCACGCGGTGTCTGTCAGGGGAGGGTAGTACTGCCTGTAGCACAGGTATGCGAGCACCAAACCCATCACTGAGCCAACCAACACATCTGTGGGCGAGACCAGAGAAAAGTTAATGGCCCGTCACGCCCCCAAGCCTCACCATCAATTCCTCAGCTTTTCTGCTAGATCCATAACCTGACTTGGCTGTAAACCCGACCTTGGTATGGATATCAAAACCACAGAGAAAGGCATCAGTTCCCTGCAGGTGGCAGCAAAATTGCCACTGGAGTAGTAAAAAAAAAAAACCCCAAGTTGCTGTTTGGGGCTCTGAACACTTCTGTGGCACCACAGGCTGGAGTGCCCTGCTCAGGGCACCTGCTGAGCCCCATCCAGGTGCACCAGCAGACGCTCACCCACCTTCCCAGTGGTGCTTGTAGTCGCAGGTGCGGGACACGGCGATGAGAGTGGCCAGGAAGAGGGGGAGGAGGAAGGCACAGAAGCGCAGGGCCCGGCCCCCCCGGCCTGGAACGAAGGTGTGCAGCTTCCCTGCCAGGTAGAAGGCAGAGAAGGCAAGACCAGCGAAGGCAACTGGAAGAGAACAGAACAATATCAGTTCAGAATAGCTCCAGGCTTTGCTGCCAGACCCTTACCCTCTGCTGCTGCAGTGGAAGGGCTGCGACAGGTGTCTGCCTGTGCTTGTGAGCCAAGGGAAGCACCAGCTGGGATCCTAGAAGCTGCTACCTGGCACACATCCCTCCTTCTGGGGCTGCAGACAGCGTTGGACTACATTTCTCACCCCACTGCTTTGCAGAGGGAAACCTGAGTCCCTCTCAGAATGCAGCCAAAGCTACGGGGTGCAGGAAAGCAAATCCCAGCTGCCCTCCCCCGGGTCCTGCCCCCAGAGCTCGCTGCCCAGGGCTGCAGCAGAAGCAGCTGGGCAGACTCACAGGAAGAGTGGCCGCTGGGGAAGCTCTTGCGGCCCTCGGTCACCCTGCGGGTGTCCCCTGTGCACAGCAGCTCGGCGTTGGCTCGGCCGTCTGGGAAGCAGCGGTGGAAGAAGTCGGGTCGTGGCCTGGGACAGGGAAGAGGAGCTCAGAGCCCTCCTGCGTGGGCACTGCCAGCACCCGTGGGGCAGCAGGGAGCACAGGGAGCTGCCCGTGCCAACGCGGTCCTCCCCCTGGGCTGGGCCTAAGGGAGCCCATCTGAGTGATGGCCTGAGACAGCAGCTCCCTCCCCAGTGTTTGTTCTACTTCTGAATTGTCTTTGCAGCTAGAAAAAACCACATTCTTTCCAGGCTGAGCACGTCCAAGCTCAGCTCCTGGCCCTGATGTGGCACTGCAGACCTGCCTGCCCTGTGGCACAGCTGGGAACCAGCCAGTCCTCACCTCCCCACTGCGAGCTTCAGGGCGTTGGTGAAAACCCCGTTCAGGGCGAGAGCAAGGCTGGCAGCTGAGAGAGAGCAAAAGGGTCACATCAGCATCATCCCCACCTGGGAGTGCAGCACGTTCAGGCACGGGCAGGGCTCAAGCTGCCTTTCCCTGCAACAAGGAGCAGCTCACCAAGGCAGGCTTCCCTCGTGTCCTCGTGGTCAGCACCCATGCACAGCCTCGCCAGGATGATGAGCAACAGGGGAGACAGAAATGCGATGAACTGCACAACACAGGGAGAATTTTAGGTGTCAGTGAAGCAGGTTTAAGTTCTCACCAGAACACAAGAGCAGTTACTCAAGAAGACTCTGAGTACACTTCCTTTCCCCAGAAGGGAACCTGTACAGCAATCTGTCCTCTGCAATCGCTGCAGTTCCATCAGAACACAATCCCCCACCAGCTGGATTTGCAGCAAGCCCTGATCAGCCCAGCATCTCCTTTGGTTCTCAGCTCTTCTGGCAGAGTGCTGCTGCTCTGGCTGCTTGCTGGGGGTGTCCCCAGGCACAGCACCTCAGCTCTCCCCTCCCTGCAGGCCCAGCATTAGTGCTCTGTCAGCAGCTCTGTCAGCAAAATCACAGCAGCTGCTGATTCAGAGCAGACAGTTATCACCATCCCCATCTCAGCCCTGGGGGACTGCACTGGGCATCCTCACCACTGCCAGGCTCCCATGGAGTCTGCTCCCACCTGAGCTCTGGCATGTCCTGCTTTACACTGCCTGCTCCAAATGCCATCCCGAGGTTTTGTCCCTAATGTTTAGTCACCATCTCTTCAGGAAATCCCACCTGCCACTTGCCAACTCAAGAGCCACAGCCCTGCACCTCACCCCTGTGACAGAGGGAGCCAATCCCTCTGACACAGTGTTCTCTCCTGGAACTGCAACACAGAGTTAGTCAAACTCTTCTAACCAAACCAAGAGCTGTTGGGAAAACATTTGACAATAAAATGATAACAAATCCCTGCTAAAAATAGCTGCTTGAAAGGAAAACACTCCCTGATAGCGAGAGCTGTGCTATCTTCCATGTGCCCAGTAAGTTAGACGTGGAATGGATTTTGGACAACAGTGCAAAGTCCTAATCTGTTTATGAGCTTCAAATCCCAAAGGCAACCCTGGATGGTAAAGCCTCAAAATATGACAAAGATCACTGTATGCTTGGCCTAGCTGGTACTAATTTCACAGGATGGGTAGAAAGGGATCACTGGGGACCACCAGATCCAACCCCTCTGCTCAGGGTCCTCAGAGCACATCACCCAGGACGGTGACCAGATGGATTATGAGTATCTCCAGGTGAGGAGACTCCCACTGTGTGGACAGCCTGTGTCACTGCTCAGTCACTCACACGGGAAAGCTATTCCCCCTGTTCAGGCAGAAATGCCCATGGTCCAGCTTGAGCCTCTCGCCCCACTGAGCAGAGTCCTGCTCCGTCCTCACAGCCCCTCCCTGCAGCTATTTATCCACACGGATAGGGTATCCTGCACTTTCTGCAACGTGCACTAGGAGCTGCAGGTATTGCAGTACAAGCCTGTAGCCAGCAGCTTTGTTTTAAAAGGAGAACTGGTAATTCGAGAATAAATCAAAGCAAATGCAGGAAACACTGGCACAGGCTGCCCAGAGAAGCTGTGGATGCTCCATCCCCGTATGAACGGATTATCTGGGGTTTGCTCTGGTGGAAAGCGGACATCCCCCTAGTGGGAGGGACGAAACGATCCTTTAAGGTCCCTCCCGACGCAAAGCACTTCAGGAACGCGCTGAACTTACAAACATGAAGACTGTGGGGACGTGGTCCACTTCAACGTAGGGGCTTTTGTAGAGCCACATCTCCTCGGGCTGCAGCACGCGCTGGAAGGGCGGCAGGAACTCCATGACCCTGGAAGAGAGGAGCACAGCAGATGAGCGCTGGCGGGCGGGCAGGGGGCGGACGGGGGTCGCACACCCACCCGAAGGCGGCGAGGAGCAGCGCCCGCAGCGCAGCCCCGGCCGCCAGCTCCGCTCGCCGCATGGCCGCGCCGCCCGGGGAGGGACCGCGGCCGGACCCGCTATCCCCCCGCCCCGCCCAGACGGAACTGACTCATCTCACCGGTGCAACATTCAGAACGATTTATTGAAGTCAACCTCAAGCAAAAAAATTTCAGATCAGTGGAATGTCATTTAAAAACCTTTCCAAAGGAATCCTCGCGGAAAAGCAAAAGGGAAAAAAAAAAAAAAAAGGAAAATAAACAAACAAAAAACCCAAACCAAAACCCAAAAAAACCACATTGGAATTCCAAAGTATTTGTAAAATAAAATTAAAAAAAAAAGGCAACATCTCAGTAAATAGAATGTACAAAAATTATATGTTCTACCATCACACACAGTCAGTAAGAAGCTAAAATATTACAGGCAAGTCTCGATACGCTCTACCTAGAGGACAGGAGCTATCTATGTACAGGGAACCAGCTTTACAGGCTTCACACTATGCAAGAGGACAGAGGCCAACACAAACCCCCCAAAATATTGGATATCTCAAAGTCTATGCGGCAACATCAAGTCATGATACAGTAATGCCCCGTGGAATCGGACACTCCTCGGTAGTGCCAGGGC